TAGCCTGTAGTAACTGTGCGTTGTCTCTAGCCTGTAGTAACTGTGCCTTGTCTCTAGCCTGTATTAACTGTGTCTCTCTTCTTCCTCTCATAGCTTCCACGGTTGCAATGGTAAGTAGAATGTATGTTAGACGTTTGCTGTTAGTCGCCTCAGAGTTCAGTGCTTGCGACGCGGCTGGTAAATCAGTGAACGACCAAGAATTGGATTCGGAAATTCACGATCGTGACATGAACGTCGCTTCCAAATATGATAACCAGGTCACCATGGAAACAGAAGCATTAAGTCACTTTTCATCAGCCTTGCTATGAACCTGAGGCCTGGACCTTGGTTTATAATTGCCTCTCTCTAATCCTCTTTGTCTCTCAGTCTCGCATTCCCCCTCCAGCATTGCGGCCCCTCTTTCCCTCACCTTCCCGTTCCATCCTTTCTATCCTCTATCATCCCCTTTACCTCTCCTTCTCTCACTTCCTCTTCCCTCCTCCCTTGCATTTCTTCCTCCTCTCCCCTTTCTCTGTCCTCCTGCTCCTCGTCGTTGTCCGAGGGTTGAAGGACAGCAACAACGTGAATTTCTGTAATTCCTTTGATAAGCATGACAAACAAAATTTGAAACTGAGACCCACAAAGTGGTGTGAGGACACGTGACCAAAGATTTAGAACATAGAACATAGAACATAGAAAATTACAGCGCAGTACAGGCCCTTCGGCCCTCGATGTTGCGCTGACCTGTGAAACCAATCTGAAGCCCATCTAACCTAAACTATTCCATTATCATCCATATGTTTATCCAATGACCATTTAAATGCCCTTAAAGTGGGCGAGACTACTATTTTTGCAGGCAGGGCATTCCACGCCCTTACTACTCTCTGAGTAAAGAACCTACCTCTGACATCTGTCCTATATCTATCACCCCTCAATTTAAAGCTATGTCCCCTCGTGCTAGCCATCACCATCCAAGGAAAAAGGCTCCCACTGTCCACCCTATCTAATCCTCTGATGATCTTGTATGTCTCTATCAAGTCACCTCTTAACCTTCTTCTCTCTAACGAAAACAGCCTCAAAACCCTCAGCCTTTCCTCATAAGACCTTCCCTCCATACCAGGCAACATCCTGGTAAATCTCCTCTGCACCCTTTCCAATGCTTCCACATCCTTCCTATAATGCGGTGACCAGAACTGTACGCAATACTCCAAGTGCGGCCGCACCAGAGTTTTGTACAGCTGCAACATGACCTCATGGCTCCGAAACTCAATCCCTCTACCAATAAAACCTAACATACTGTACGCCTTCTTAACAACGCTATCAACCTGGGTGGCAACTTTCAGTGATCTATGCACATGGACACCGAGATCTTTCTGCTCATCCACACTACCAAGAATCTTACCATTAGCCCAGTACTCTGTATTCCTGTTACTCCTTCCAAAGTGAATCACCTCACACTTTTCCGCATTAAACTCCATTTGCCACCTCTCAGCCCGGCTCTGCAGCTTATCTATGTCCCTCTGTAACCTACAACATCCTTCTGCACTATCCACAACTCCACCGACTTTGGTGTCATCTGCAAATTTACTAACCCATCCTTCTACGCCCTCATCCAGGTCATTTATAAAAATGACAAACAGCAGTGGCCCCAAAACAGATCCTTGAGGTACACCACTAGTAACTGAACTCCAGGATGAACATTTCCCATCAACCACCACCCTCTGTCTTCTTACAGCTAGCCAATTTCTGATCCAAACCGCTAAATCACCCTCAATCCCATGCCTCCGTATTTTCTGCAATAGCCTACCGTGGGGAACCTTATCAAACGCTTTACTGAAATCCAAATACACCACACCAACCGCTTTACCCTCATCCACCTGTTTGGTCACCTTCTCGAAGAACTCAATAAGGTAACAAGAGTGGAACAAGAGTTTGGTTTGAAGGGACATCTGAAGGAACGATAGCAGGGCCAAGGGGTTTAGGAAGGTCCTAGGACTCAGGCGAGTGAAGGCACGGCTCCCAAAGGTGAGAAATGGAAATGGAGGGGTGTCAGTGAGGAAGAGGCCAGAACTGGGAGCGGTGCAGAAATCTTAGAGGCCTGCAGGGGCAGGGGAAGGTTTCAAAGGTAGCAAAGGTTGTAAGGGCTGGAGGAGGTTACAGAGAGAGAGAGGGAGGGGTGTAGGGGCTGGAGGAGGTTACAGACAGGGAGAGGTGGGGGTGTACGGGCAGGAGGAGGTTACAGAGAGAGAGAGAGGTGGAGGTGTAGGGGCAGGAGGAGGTTACATAGAGAGAGAAGGAGTGGTGTAGGGGCTGGAGGAGGTACAGAGAGAGAGAGATGTGGGGGTGTAGGGGCAGGAGGAGGGTACAGAGAGAGAGAAAGATGGGGGTGTAGGGGCAGGAGGAGGTTACAGAGAGAGAGAGGGAGGAGTGTAGGGGCTGGAGGAGTTACAGAGATAGGGAGGGGGTGTAGGGACTGGAAGAGGTTACAGAGATAGCGAGAGGGTGTAGATGCTAGAGGAGGTTACAGAGATAGGGAGGGGTGTAGGGGCTGGAGGAGGTGACAGAGATAGGGAAGGGTGTAGAGGATGGAGGAGATTACAAAGATAGGGAGGGATGTAGGGGCTGGAGGAGGTGACAGTAATAGGGAGGGGTGTAGGGGCTGGAGGAGGTTACAGAGATAGGGAGGGGGTGTAGGTTCTGGAGGAGTTTATAGAGATAGGGAGGGATGTAGGGGCTGGAGGAGGTGACAGTGATAGGGAGGGGGTATAGGGGCTGGAGGAGGTGACAGTGGTAAGGAGGCATATAGGGGCTGGAGGAGGTTACAGAGAGAGAGGTGGGGTGTAGGGGCAGGAGGAGGTTACAGAGAGAGAGGGAGGGAGGGGTGTAGTGGTTGGAGGAGGTTACAGAGAAAGGGAAGGCTGTAGGGGCTGGAGTATGTTGCAGAGATAGGGAGAGGTGTAGGGGCTGGAGGAGGTGACAGAGATAGGGAGAGTTGTAGGGGCTGGAGGAGGTGACAGAGATAGGGAGGGGGTGTAGGAGGCTGGAGGGCGTGACAGAGATAGGGAGGGATGTAGGGGCTGGAGGAGGTGACAGAGATAGGGATGGGTGTAGGGGGCTGGAGGAGGTGACAGAGATAGGGATGGGTGTAGGGGGCTGGAGGAGGTGACAGAGACAGGGAGGGGGTGTAGGATGCTGGAGGGCGTGACAGAAATAGGGAGGGGGTTGTAGCCAAGGAGGAAATTGGAAACAAGAATGCGAATCTGAAACTTGAGGCAGGGGTAGAGTGGGGAGTAGTTTTGATCATGGAGTGGGTGGAGGGAGGGAAGAGTGATAGGTGAATGAGGGGTGGTGTGAGTGGGGATACAGTCAGCAGAACATTGGATGAGCTCAGATCTGATGCCAGAACAGTGAACAGGCAATGATCCAGGAACAGAGGTCCTTTGGGGAAGTGAGCAGAGTCGATGAAAACAATAGTTAGGAAGGGAAGATTGAATGTGAAAAATGGGTCCAAATTCTGTTAACGCGGGGCCATTCAGCACCACGGAGAGCAGGTGCCTGGCACCCTCCTCCCCTCGATTCCCGGTTTGATGTGAGGTGTGTCGGGGGTGGAGGGGGCTTCTGGAGCAAGGAGGGAGGAAAGGTCGGGGGTGAGTGTCATCCTCAGGTGTTTCGGGGAGCTGGTTGGCAACAAGAGCCGTCAACATGCGACTGAGATCACAGGAGCTGCAAGCGCACGTTGCCTTTCAATAATCCTCACTTTAAAACATCCCAGTTCCAATCCAATCAGCCCAAAAAGGAAAGAATTTAGACCACTTGGACTCACCATCAATCTAACCCCAATCTCAGAGGGAACTGGAGTGAATGGGAAGACGGTTTTGAGTCCATTGGGATTGTGTACGATGGAAGTTAAAGGGAGGAATTTGCTCCATTGAAAATTATACAGAGGGAGTACGGGGTGGGGGCAATATTTGGGATTTAGTTCCATTAGGTTCAAATACAGATGGAATTGGAAAAGGCTTTTGATCCGTTGGGATCTTGCACAAGGGAGTGAATGGGAAAAGGTTTTGGAAGTATCAAGGTTGGAATAAAATGTAGATGGGTGGATGAGTAAGTTTGCAGGTGATACAAAGGATCAGTGGAGTTGTGGATAGTGTAGAAGGTTGTCAAAGGATACAGCGGGTTATAGATCAGTTGCAGAAATGGGCAGAGAAATGGCAGATGGGGTTTAATGGGGGTAAGTGTGAGGTGCTGCACTTTGGGGGATCAGATGTTAAGGGAAAGTAAACAGTTAATATCAGGACCCTGAACAGCACTGATGTACAGAGGGATTTTGGGGTTCAAGTCCGCAGCTACCTGAAAGTGGCCACGCAAGTAGATAGGGTGGTAAAGAAGGCATGTGGCATGCTTGTCTTTATTGGTTGGGGAATTGAGTACAAGAGTCAGGATGTCATGTAGCAGCTTTATAAGACTTTGGTCAGGCCACACTTATCGAGTATTGTATTCAATTCTGGTCGCCACGTTACAGGAAGGATGTGGAGGCTTTGGGAAGAGGGTGCAGAAGAGGTTTACCAGGATGCTGCCTGGATTAGAGGGTATGAGCTATAAGGGAGAGGCTAGAAAAACTTGGGTTGTTTTCTCTGGAGTGTCAGAGGCTGAGGGGAGACTTGATAGAAATCTATAAAATTGTGAGATGCATAGATAGGGTTGACTGTTAGAATCTTTTTCCCAGAGTTGAAATGTCTAAAACTCGGGCCATGTGCATTTAAAGTGAGAGGGGTAAAGTTTAAAGGAGATGTGAGGTGCATGTTTTTTAAACAGAGAGTAGGAGGAGTGTCGAATGCGCTGCCAGGGGATGGTAGTGTGGGGCGCAGATACGATAGGGGCATTTAAGGGACTTTTAGGTAAACATATGAATATGCAAGGAATGGAGGGATATGGACCCAGGTCAGGCAGAAGGGATTAGTCTAATTTGGCATCAAATTCGGCACAACATTGTGAGCCAAAGGGCCCGTTGCTGAGCTGTATATCCTGTGTTCTGTTGAATCCCATGGGAGTGAACAATGGGTTCTGAAAAATGGGAGTGAATGGGAGGGGGCTTTGCCCATTGGGATTGTGTATAATGGGAAGAGATTCCTCTATAGGGATGGAGTGCAGTGGGGGGTGAAGGGGAATAGATTTTGGGTCAATTGGGATTTATACAATGGAAGTGAAAGGGAAGAAGGGGGTTGATAGATTGGGAAGGATTTATCCAACGGGAAAGAGCTTGGTTCATTAGATTCTGCACATGGTATGAATAGAAAGGGGGTTGTCCCATGGGAATTGTGTACAGTTGAGACCAAAGGAAGGAGTTCACGGTCCAGCTGTGAAATCTCGACTCAGGGTTCCAGGGAGATCAGCACAAAGTCAAAATCCTCAGAGAGCCGGCACAGACACGATGGGCCAAATGGCCCCGTTCAGCCTGTGTCCATGTGTTTGGGAAGGAAGGGTGGAAAATGAAGGCCATAAAATACATCTGATTCAGCAGATGGCAAGTCACCAGTCACTAGTGCATGCTGGGTACTGACTTGTGCCAACTTCGTAAAGATTGGTTTTCTCTCTTTTTAATTGACCAGTTACCCACGTTCAGTCTCCGAGAGGAAGTGTTCTCAGCCAGTTTCATTCCCTTCGCTTCAAGGTTTCCGGGTGAGTATTGACTGCTTCTTGGAGAAGGCATAGGCAAGGTCCTTGATGTTGGCCACATGACGGTCCCATAACCAAAGGTAACACTTGACGCTACTGAAACCTGTTTCAGGTACACATTCCACTCCATGCTGAGTGATCTGTGTCAGCCATCAAACACTCCCCAGGACAGGGAGAGCACGGGGTTAGATACAGAGTAAAGCTCCCTCTACATTGTCCCCTCCATGAAACCCTCCCCATGACGGGGACAGCATGGGGTTAGATACAGAGTAAAGCTCCCTCTACACTGTCCCCCATCAAACACTCCCCAGGACAGGGACAGCACGGGGTTAGATACAGAGTAAAGCTCCCTCTACACTATCCCCCATCAAACACTCCCAGGGCAGGGACAGCACGGGGTTAGATACAGAGTAAAGCTCCCTCTACACTATCCCCCATCAAACACTCCCAGGGCAGGGACAGCACGGGATTAGATACAGAGTAAAGCTCCCTCTACATTGTCCCCTCCATAAAACACCCCCAGGACAGGGACAGCACGGGGTTAGATACAGAGTAAAGCTCCCTCTACACTGTCCCCCATCAAAAACTGTAGCTGATAGAACCAAAGAGGAGGTGACAAATCGATCTGATTAGAATGAGCTGGATTGAAGGTGAAAGACAGAAGTAAACTGCTTTCTTTACCCTCCGTGTTAGTTAAGACAGGTGTGTATGCTAACGTCACACAGTTCAACCTTTTGTTTTGTTTTGCTCTCTGCCTTCCCAGTAGAATTGGAAACACGACCTACGGCCCCTGCGGTTAAGGTCCTGCCTTCAGATCAGCCGATGGAGTTCGGCCCATCCCAAGTCATTGGTAGGTGGCTCTTTCCTTGCTAAACCTTGCTCGGGTCATGTAGGGCACCTACTGTCCTTAGGGCATGACCCCTTAGCGTCAGGATCAATCTCAAATTGTGCAATAATTCAGAGCAGTGAAAGGGTTTACTTCAGGATGGAGTCTTGCAAGTCAAGATATTGCCACTGAAGTGGGTGGCATGGTGTCTCAGCGGTTAGCACTGCTGCCTCACGGCACCAGGGACCCGGGTTTGATTCAACCTTCGGGCGACGGTCTGTGTGGAGTTTGCACATTCTCCCTGTGTCTGCGTGGGTTTCCTCCGGGTGCTCCGGTTTCCTCCCACAGTCCAAAGATATGCAGGTTAGGGTGGATTGGCCATGCTAAATTGTCCCATCGTGCCCAGGGATGTGCAGGTTAGGGTGGATTGGCCGTGCTAAATTACCCATAGTGTCCAAAGATGTGTACGTTAGGTGGATTGGCCATGTTAAATTAGCTGTAGTAACCAAAGATGTGTAGGCTGGGTGGGTTAGCCATGGGAAATGCAGGGTTACAGAGATAGGGTACAGGTGTGTGTCTCGGTAGGATGCTGTTCAGAGGGTTGGTGTGGACTCAATGGGCCGAATGACTTTACTCCACACTATAGGGATTCTATGATTACAATTACTTCAACTATCGCAATATTTTTCAGTAGTAAGGTCCTGGTTAGTGCAGTGTTCCGATGCCATTCCCTGAGGAGTAGGGACCAGCAATGTGTGTGGTGTGGTCATCCAAAAGTTCAGCTGCCCCATGTAACCCTGACCAAGTTCTGTTTCTCATTCAGTCTGTTTATTCCCTAACTCCCACTCCCTCTTAGACTTGCAAAGCTGCAGTCCAAAAATCCCCTATCCTTCAGTCAACATCCTCTTAGTACGAGAGTAATTAAAAAATATTGAGGGTTTGTTGGAGGGAGTATGGCAGGAACATATCTTTGAAGTAGATGTTCCACTCGGTCACGGTGAAATGGATTGGTGGAGCAAACATCTTGACATGGCAAACATCTTTCTCCTACTCCAGTTTCCCATATTCCTAAGTAAAACGCAGATGTATCGCAGATTTTCCGTTTGCCTTACCTTCTGTGCAATCTTGCCTCTTAATACATTTAAATTGAGAGCCTGAAACCTGAAAAATGCGGCCAATCAGGTTAGTGCTATGGTATGATCCTGTTGATGGTAACACAGGACTGGTCCGATCCCAGAGTGAAGTTTGGCTTCCGAGACCACAAGTTTTAATTTTCCTTTTTGCCTCCTGTAGAGAGCAGTCACGGATCATATTTGCAGGAGGCTGCCAATGTACATTTAACAAAAGAACAAACACAGGCTGCATTATATTAGATAAAACCTAATGGAACAATCACACACATCAGAAAGAAAAATTCATCTCTTTTTATCCCAAAAAATGTTCCGACAGTAGCTCAGTCCTCGGTG